TTTCTATTGAATTGCTACTTTAATCAGCCCTTGAGTCTCATTTGATTATGACTAGCAGGTATGATATGACAGCGCCATGGCCACGCTCAGCGGCCACAGGGCTGCTTCTCTTCCTCTGTGTGGCCTTCCCTTGTTCTCCAGCCCATGCTACTACAGTGACATGCACCTGTTTTGTTTCCACAAGCCATTATAGAGCTTTTTTCCTGAGGGGGCCTATATTTAGATTTCATACAGAGGCTGTCTGTGTGCTCCTCACTTTGAAAGCAGGGACAGGGAACTGCTGTGTCCTGCACCCAGGAGAGCCCCTGTGAAGTGGCAGGCCCTGACTACCTGTTGCCAAATGAGGGGGGGTTGGGGGGTGGGGGGGAAGGTAAGGGGGTGGGAGGGTGGGTTTAGAGAACATGATCCATATTTCCCTTCTCAGTTCCTCACTCCCTTATTCCATTTTCCTACTAGATCTGAGAGGATGAAAGTGAGGTAGATGTTTGGTTTGCCAAAAAAAAAAAAAAAAAAAAAGTTGGGGGGGTGGTAGAATTTCAGCAGGATCACATCAATTTGCCTTCTCCAGTCAGACCAGAGACTGAATAGACAAGAATAAAGTAGTTTGGGTTTAGAGGCAGGAGGACATGGAAGGGCCATGGTGAGCGTGTGTAAAACACATGCTTGTCCAAAGGTAGCACATACAATTTTGCTCTAGGTGGTTAAGGAATTTCAGAAATAGCACTGTCACTTCTTCAGATTTTATTTTATTTTATTTTATTTTATTTATTTATTTATTTTTTTAGAGATTTTGAAATTTTTTTTTAATTTTTATTTATTTATGATAGTCACACAGAGAGAGAGAGGCAGAGACACAGGCAGAGAGAGAAGCAGGCTCCATGCACCGGGAGCCCGACGTGGGATTCGATCCCGGGTCTCTAGGATCGCGCCCTGGGCCAAAGGCAGGCGCCAAACCGCTGCGCCACCCAGGGATCCCACTTCTTCAGATTTTAAAGAGAACTCATAACCCATTTTTTCATTTCAAATCCCCTGATTTAAAAAATATATATTTTATTTATTTTGAGAGGGAGAGGGCAAGTGTATGAGCATGGGGGAGGGGCAGGGAGAGAATCCCAAGCAGACTTCAGCAGAGCATGGAGCCCGACATGGGGCTTGATCCCATGACCTAGAGATTACGACCTGAGCTGACATCAAGAGTCAGATGCTTACCCAATTGAGCCACCTAGGTGCCCCTGAACTTTCCTGATTTTTAAGAAATGTTGGTCATCTTTTTTTTTTTCTTCTTCTTAAACTTCATATGATCCAAACAAAATCTCTCTGCAGGGTCGATATGGTCCCAGGATTTCTAGGGTATAATTTCTGGACCTTCTAGTCCTTTACCAACCCAGCAAATGCAACAACAGGGAGGTGGGAATCTTGAGGTAGCTAGACTTTTTCAAAACATCTATCATGTCTGAAAGAGAGGAGACCAAGCTGACTTTCACAGAGATGAAGGCTCATGATGGGTTGTCCGCACACTCTTGCCAGGTTTTTCCGTGGCCTGTTCATGATAAGGACACTTATAGCTGCGGCCATGGGAAGGATGCATCGGTCAGCAGTGTGACTAGTGTGCTATTTATGCATGAGGCAGTGGTATACTCAAATCTAATTATTTAAGACTTTGTGGCTGACAAGGGCTTTGTGCAACTGGAGAGAGCAGGTTAGTCCTTGGTGAATGAAATCATTAGAATCGAAAGCTGTACTTTCCTTTGATTCCCAACTTGGTTGAACCTGTATAGAAAAGAGTGTGAAGACAGTGCATGGAATAACAGTCCCTGTTTACTGTCCTGTGGCCTCTATGTTTAATTGATTGATTCATCCGGGCACTCAACAAATATGTGCACCTCCTTATGAGGTGTCAAGCAGTATTCTAGGTGCTGTGGGCACAGCAGAGAACAAAACAAGGCCCCTGCTTTCAGCAGGTGCACAGTCTAGCATGAGGACCTGGTAGTGTGCCTCACATGCGGGGACTCTTTTAAAAATCTGGTAAATCACTATTCTTTCCCAGTTCCCAGAGTTATGCTGCTGCTTGACTTAGGTGTCAGAAGAGAAGTGGCAATTAAGAACATCAGGGAAAAAGAGGCAGAGAGAGCACTTTTTTCCTGGTATATCCACAAGAAGTTCTGAGGGGGTCTTGGACGAAAAGTTCTGGCAGATTTTGCTTCCTGGGTGCCTCCTGTAGCCTCATGGTTCCCAATGCCTTTAGAATCCTCTGAGCATGTCCCTCACTATTTTGCTTTGGGGCTACTTTGGAATTGATGAGGACCCCCTGAATGTCCTGTTGAAAACATAACCCTTGGGGTAATTATTCCTTAACTCAGGAAGCTCTGTGGGATACAGAATAAAATTTCTTCACCGCGGGTTCACATCATTGTAACTACTACTCACAGCTTTTTTTTTTTTTTCTACTCACAGCTTTAAGTAACCGAGTGTAGCAGATAGAGTGGAAAATCTCATTTTGCCTTATTTTGAAGTGTCTGCATTTAATTCTACTAAAGAAGTAAAAACGACTGGACTGATTACTAAGGGTGCTCCTCTGAGTCTGTTCTGTCCTTTATTTGGTGTTGGTACACTGTTAGCCAAGTGACCACATCAGTAAATCGCACCATTTCTTCTTGTCTCCATTACTAAAAGAACTCTTGAGAAGTTTGGCTCCTAGTTCAATGTTAGAAATATTTGCTTATGGATTATTTGGCATGACTTCATGAAAGAGAAGCAGTGCCATACACACCTTTTATTATGTTAGGGCTGCCTTAACAAACTAAAACCAGTAAGACTTACCCAGATAGGAAGTTAGCTTTTGGATGCTGGTTTCTTTTTTTTTTTTTAATTTTTATTTATTTATTTATGATAGTCACAGAGAGAGAGAGAGAGAGAGAGAGAGAGAGAGAGAGAGGCAGAGACACAGGCAGAGGGAGAAGCAGGCTCCATACACTGGGAGCCCGACATGGGATTCGATCCTGGGCCTCCAGGATCGCGCCCTGGGCCAAAGGAAGGCGCCAAACTGCTGCGCCACCCAGGGATCCCTGGATGCTGGTTTCTTCAGATACTCAAGGAATGAATTTTCATTCCTGTGATTTCTATTTCTGGGCTTACCACATAGTCCTGCTGCACAGCCAAATATGACCTGATGCTCATAATAATAAAGGAAACAAACAATTTTTTATTTGCCCTGGAGAAACACATATGCTTATGTGTTCAGTGAAGTGGATCCCTCATAGAAATGGTGACATAACCCTGCATGGTATATTGCCATAATTTGGCAATACAATAGTGATGATACATTTCAATTTAACAAACTCAGGAATTGCTAAAAATATAAAATGAAAAACAGAGCAAACATCAGAAATTTATCAATTACAGTTTTTTTTTAACAGCAATTTCAATCAAGGAAAAGCTTAAATACATTTTTATAAGCCAGCAGGCGAAAGACTATTAGGAATATATAATGTATGCCCTTATTCAATCTATGCACACATATATAAATATGTACATACACACATATAAATGCAAGTAAAATGTTTTCCCATTTTGAATACTTCTGAGTAAATTTATGAATTTATTCTTGAACTGCAAATTTTTAGCTATATAAGCGTAATATAACAATTATTTAATACCCAGGTAAATATAAGGAGTTTCTAATTCAGGATAAACACTTGTCAAGGACTGCAAGTGAGAAATCCTTAACTCTCAGACAGGAAGTTAGAATAGCTGAATTCTGACCCCAAATTTTACAAAGAGAAGCATTTGGGGAACTTTTTTTAAAAATCTTTCAGGGGTCTGAGTTTGCTCATCAAGATGATTTTGGTGTAGGTATGGAGGCACTTTCCATTTGTTTGGGATCTCATGCAAATATAGTCTAGCCCCATTATTCCAGCAGAATAGTCTCTGTACATGTGTTCTGCACTGATACTGAATCCTTTCTGGGAACAACTCAGCTGATTCAGCGACCTTTTTTTTTTTTTAAAGTCAAGTCTACCCCCAACGGGGGCTCGAACTCACAATCCTGGGATCAATAGTCACATACTCCACCGACTGAACCAGCTCGGTGTCCCATTCATCTTTAATGAACTGGAATTATGAGACGCTGTCCAATGGCTCCAAGCATCAGTGTGATATTGATATGGGGCCAACTACTACCAAAGACAGCACCTACCTCATAAGGTGGTTATGAGGATTGAGTTGCTCCATGCAATGCACTTACACAGCCGGACACGTAGGGAGGGTTCCAATATTAGCAGCAACAATTGCTAGTATGACCATTACTATGTGCCAGGCTCCGGGCTAGAGTGAACATGAAAATAGCCACGGTCTCTGCCCCTGTTGAATTTATCATGTAGTTGCTGATGGCAAATTCTAGTGCCTACCAGGCTCATGAGGGCTTGCAGGTGGAAGAGGTGTGGCTGGCTTCCATGGTGCCTGGACCCCACGCACCCTGTTGGAGGGCAGGGACCACGTGGCCCCAGCAGGTTGTTGCTGGCTGGAAGTGGGGGCTACTGTTGCCAAATCTTGTTTTTAGGGGAAGTTGGAAATCTGGGTTATCATGTGAAATCTCCAAGTTATAAGCAGTGACAGTGAACACCAACTGCAAACGAATGAGTGCTGTAGGGGCAAAAGCACTTCAGGCTGGATGCTTGCTGGAAGTGGCTGTGTCCAACCTCTGGATGTGTGGTTGCAATAGCCTCAATTCCTCACTTTTCTTGGGGCAGCACAAACCACATGAGGGCAAAGATCCCTTGTCAGTTCATCTTTAATTCTTGGCTCCTCCATGAAATGCACAGAATTCCCGTAAGCTGGGAGTCTGCGGGGCAGAACTGAACATTGGGGATGCTAGTGACCCCAGAGGTAGGGCTGGAACAGGACTGGGGAGGGAAAAGGGGAGGCCAGATGCCCAGGAGTCTGTCTATAGACAGGTACCCTTTGCCAGCGAACACAAGGACACTGTTGAGCACAGACAGGTGAAGAGTTTAACACAATTTATTTTATGCTTAAATAATCGACTAGGTCATCCAGTGTATGGGTTTTTCATACATATGTCATTAGAGCTATGTGTCAATGAATGCTGATTTTATGTGAATATAATCAACAAATTAAAGGATTTCACCAAAACCCAAATAAAAATGCCCTTTAAAACACAGCAGCCTTATTAACCTAATATGACACTGCTAGAATGGTTACAAATGATTGGCTTATTCAAAGGTGTCTACATCTTATAGCCAGTACACGATACAGTAATAATTGTACAGCGTGCTGCCATTCTACTAGCTAAGAATTTCGGTTCAGTCCATTTTAAATACCCCCGACTGGGGCCTCTTATGAGCACCATCCACCTCTAAAGCGGCAAGCATTACCCCCTTTTAAGCACTAACAGCACCCCCCACCCCCTAAAGCAACTACTGTATAGGTTTTTTTTTTTTCATTTTTAGGTCATTTCATTGAAAAATTGGCAATAGCAACAAATATTAGATGAAGGGCTTTGTGTTTACAGATAAAATCTTCTGTGTTGCAGTATACTGTAGTGTTTGCAAAATTGGAAAAGATTTAATCAAAATAAGGTGATACACATGCATCAAAATATTAGTATTCTGAAGAAAAAATTTTTCACAGAACTACAGAATTCCTCATTTTGGGAATTATTTAAATTTGCAGCAGATTTTAAAGATTTGTTTTTCTTTTTTTTTTTTAAAATCAAGCTAGCAGTTTTGCATATACAAACATTATAATTGCTAATATACAAGAATCAGTGAAGATCCCCCCCTCCCCAGAACCCCTCCCTCCTCTTCTAGGGTGAAGTCACTTGAGACCCCTTGTATGTTAAATGCATTTGCAATATTCTGTTTGTGTTCTAAGAGGCAGTGCCTTATCAACATTTATTCTATTTTTCTGTTAGAATTTATACAGTGTTATTATTTACAGCAAAACTATAGATGTTTTAAAAAAGAAACAAATAGTGTTTATACCCTGACAGTTTGGGTCCAAGAAAAATAAGGCGAGCTGTTGTGGAGTTAGTAATTTTAGTGTTTCTCTGTGATTTCATCATCCCATCTTCTGTCCCTTCTGGCGGCAGGAATTTCTTCCTTTTGTAAATGACACCAAATTACTTAAGATAAACTGTTAACAGCATGGCTTCTTGTATATACACTGCATTGCTAATTGCACACGCGCCAATCCTGGGAATGAAAGTGAATTTCCATGCTCTGTAAATTGGCTCATGCTAAATTAAAATGTGGGTAGTTTTCTTTTTTTTTTTCTTTTTGCATAAAAAAAAATCATGCCATTAATGTGTGGAAGCAGCAAACGCACACACCCTTCTCCGTAAATTTTCACTTCCTGTTGACATATCTTCCATGAATTTCTCAATACTGGCAGTAAAAACACATGATCCTGTGGAAAGAGAGACAATAGGCAGTGAGTTTAGCTTTTCTATTTTTTGGTTTTTTAAAGAATTTGCTTAAGGCTTTCTTGCCGTTCAACAGAAAAGCCTGAGAGAACAGGGCCTCTGCTTTCTAGTGGGTCGTTTAACATGATACTTCTGTCCAATGCAGTCGGCTAGGACAAAGCCCCAAGGTGTACCCGAAAGCTCTTTGAGGGCAGTGACTTTTTCTAGGTGACCCTGTGATCTCCCCAGCACACTGCTCACTGTAATTGTGGTTTTCGAGATTGTGTTGGCAAAGACCTTCTAGGGTTCCATCTCTAAGGATCAGGTCACTCAGGTGCTTGGGAAAGTCACTTTCAGCCCTCTTGGCGGGGGGTGGGTGGAGGGGTGGGCTGTATAGTCTTATCTATACAATGAGAAGGCTGACAGAGGTGCTCTCTGGGATTTCGATCAATAGCAAAATATGAGGGGCCTGGGGTTCTCGGGGGCATTGAGAGCCAGGGATATGGAGTCAGGACAGAGCATTTCAGTAATGTCCCTATGTCTTATAATAAGTGCTCGCTCCCCAAAGTGCAACTAATCTTTCAAAAAGGGAGAACAGCATCATTACTTCATTACTCTGAAACTCCTTTTCCATGCACAAATTAAAGTTAAAGGCTGTCTTCCACCGCTGCAAAGAATATTCCCTCCTCCTGCCCTACATCAGTCATCACAAGATTGGTTATGTTTGAGCTTTTTTTTTTTTTTAAATTTTATGTATTTATTCATGAGAGACACACAGAAAGAGAAGCAGAGACACAGGCACAGGGAGAAGCAGGCTCCATGCAGGGAGCCCGATGCGGGACTCAATCCCGGGACTCCAGGATCACGCCCTGGGCCGAAGGCAGGTGCTCAACCTCTGACCCACCCAGGCGTCCCATGTTTGAGCTTCTTTATGGAAGCTGAGAATATCTTGTCTTACTGGATAGCACCTGCATAACCTGCATAAAGTATCAGTGTTTTATAACCAGTCAAAACAGTCAATATCAATCGACAGTTTTTGCTGTGAACTCTTTTCTCACAAAACAAAGTTTTCCTACATACAGTCCGTCCTCCTTTCAGTGTGAAAAGGTGACACACTTGAATGCTGGCCTGAGAACAAATCTTAGCCCCTAAAGCAAACCTGAGTAAGGCAAGATGGATTTTAGGAACAACCGTGCTCACTGGGTGGTAAAGCAAGCCCATCTCTACAGGTCAGGGGCACCTTCAGAAGTGTGCTTCTGGTGGGCCCGTGTGTCCTCAGTGACCTTGAGGTGGTTTACTTACCCAGACAAGTTTCTTTCTCCTTAAGATGGATCACCTAGGCTACTCTGGCTTATGTAAACATGTTAGTCCAGCACTTCCTCTGTCGGCTCTACTAGGTTCTTGCTTCCTTTCTCATATGAAAAGTGCTACTAACTCCCATGCTCCAGGTCACTAGTGCCTGGAGCCAAGAACATCAAAGTGTCAATTCCTTCTGGGGTGATTTCAATATTGGCCCCCTTCCCATGACTCTGCAGAGGCTGTAGGGAAGGAAAGTGACTCATGGGTCATATCCCAGAAAGTGGGCAAATCTGAGTAAGATCTGGATTTTCTCACCTTTGTTATTATCACTTACTCCTTATCTTCTGGGCACCAGGGTTCTTAGATGGCCCCATGATAACGTTACCCTGGTGTTCTCCCTCTGTCTTCCTAGGGAGGGTCCTCAGCAATTTTCCCTAGTTGAAACCACCCTTACTTTGTGCAGCTTAATTGGTATATGATTTACATGCCATGCGATATATGTATTTTGAATATAGTTTGGTAATTTTTAGGAAATTTATATAGACATGCAATCATCACCGCAAGCCATTTGAACTTTTTTTTTTGTTTTGCATCCTGTCTTCCAAAAACCAATCCAACTTTCCAGGTTCATCTTGCAAGAAGAAGCAAGTTCTCTTATCACCTTAGTGCAAGCAAATGTTATTTTTTTATAGAAATACTGAGTATGTTTCTATAATTTTCAAAAATACTATTCATTATGCCCATTTATATTCAGGTAGGATTTGGGTGATAGTTCAAAAACAAAAATTGGGAGTGAGTTTCCCTTGTAAATCTCTCTTGTTCTTGGTCATCCAATCAGACTATGTTGGCCCTAACCACTCAGGGGCACGAAGGTCATTCATTGGACAAAAGACTATACCAAGTAGGCCATTCTACAAAAAGCATCAGCGCCTTGGGGAAAGGGACTGTATGCCTATTGTAAGATATTGACATCTTACAAACCGTAATGAGAGCGCCATCTGATGGAAAAGCGTGAGGACAGGAGCCATCAAGATGGCATTTCAGAAAGAGAATCTGAGTCCTTTTAGGTAATACATCTGAGATAGAAGCCTCTGCATTTAGAAATCTATCTTTGGGTTTCATATGCTTTTCAAAGACAAAGGTAGTAGAAACCAACTCAGAAAAAACAAACATTCCTTTTAGTCATTTCACTAATTTTCTTTTTTTTTAAGGAACGTTTTTCAGGTATTAGGAAAACAGCTATTCAGTAGATTTTCCTGGCAGTTTATATTTCATAGATGAATGTGTTTTTCCATATCCATTTTCAAGTCAGGGGTATGCTTGAGTTTGGAACTACTGTTTCCTTTATAGGTCCACATACCAGTGGTTTTTAGTTCGTGTGCCCACCTTAAAAACCAAAAATCACCCATCTGTAGCTGGATACATGAAGCTCTCTGCAGTTCAGCCCAATCAGGCTTAATACCTGTGACTCTTGAGTGAACAGCTTCGTTTCACAATTTCCAATGGTTCTCAAACTTGGGTGCATATTAGAATCATCTGAGGAGGCTTTTTTTTTTTTCCTTATTTTTTTTTTTTTTATTTATGATAGTCACACACACACAGAGAGAGAGAGAGAGAGAGAGAGGCAGAGACACAGGCAGAGGGATAAGCAGGCTCCATGCACCGGGAGCCTGACGTGGGACTCGATCCCGGGTCTCCAGGATCGCGCCCTGGGCCAAAGGCAGGCGCCAAACCGCTGCGCCACCCAGGGATCCCCATCTGAGGAGGCTTAAAAAAAACCCAGTATCTAGGCCACATACCATGCCAATTTATTTAGAATTTCCTAGGATGGAGCCAAACATCAAAAAACATTGAAAAAACTCTCTAGATTTGAATGTTCAACCAGGTTTAAGAGCAGTGATCTATTCTAAAACACTGCTTTTCAAAATTTAATGTCCTCATGTATCATCTCAGGGACCTTCAAATGTGGATTCCAATTCAGAAGGTCAGGGTAAAGCCAGAGTTGCTGATTGTCTAACAAGACTTCCAGGTGATGGCGATGCTCCACAGACCACACTAGAAGGAGCTAGACTGTGTGCCAGTCATCAACACATTGGTTTCCAACTTCCTTTTCTTTGCTGGTGATTTTGTATCCATCTATACTTGTCTGCGCAATCTTCACCCATATCTCTCCTCTCCATCCTTCAAGTTTGGGTCAAATGTCATCTCCATGAAAATGTAGACTGTGCTCTCCCTAAGGAGATCTGCCTCAGCAGGTTAACTCTTACTCATCTTTAAAGACTTCGCTTTGTTCCAGTTTTAGGAAAGAAAGCCTTACCTGACGTGCCTTCCTTATAGCTAATGGAGAATGTAGATTTGTTACTCTATTCCTTTCTCTTCCTTCCCCTCTCTCTACCCTTCCCATTGTTTCTCTAGTTACAGAAGTCATGGGGCTAAGAATATTTTTTTCGGGAGGCCTGGGTGGCTCAGCGGTTGAGCATCTGCCTTCGGCTCAGGGCGTGATCCCATGGTCCCCGGATCCAGTCCCACATCGGGCTCCCTGCATGGAACCTGCTTCTCCCTCTGCTATGTCTCTGCCTGCCTCTCTCTCTCTGTCTCTCATGAATAAATAAATAAAACTCTTAAATCAAAAAAAATTTTTTTTCTAAGCATTAATTCTAGTTACTTCATATAATAAACTACAGGGCAACTTAAAAATAATTCCCAGGTCATGTTGATTTGTTCAACCACTACCAATAAGTGGGACTTTTTTGAGTTTTGTTTTTTTCTAGTGACTTGTGATTTTAAAAATACTTGAGGTCATAGGGCCAGTTAAAAAAATGGGAAAAATATTGATTTAAATTTTGGTAGTAAAAAACATAGCACTCATAAAATAATACAATAGTACAGCTATTATTATTATCTGCCAGGCACTGTAGCAAAGCGGCTTAGTTCATTTACCATTAATAACAATAAGGTACTATAATATCTTCCATTTTTATGGCTAAGGAAACAGAGTTTTGAGCTATAAAAGAAGCATGAGTTTGTACCCTTAGTACATATTAGGGCCAGAAACAGAAGTCAAACCACTTGACTCTAGAACCCTTGCTCTTTACCTCAAAGCCAAGGCTTTTGGTTAATTAGGGATTTTTTTTTCCAATGGTAAGAAAAATAAAAACTAAACTACATAAAAACCTATTTACTTCGAAAAAATTTAAGGAAAATATTTAGGAGTGAAGAAATTCAGGCTGCATCTCGAACTTCTGGGAAGCAGGATCAGGAGACCCTGCTGGGTGAGATCCAGATGTATCCTTAACTATGACCACTGGGATTTTGCTGTCCACCTCTCTTCCTTCTTTAGTAGAGAGGAATGAGAATGCCTCTCTTACTAATTTCCCCTGGAATTTCTCTGCATGTATGCTGGTTTATACTTCACAATACTTTCAGATATCCCTTGTTTCTCAGAGAATTTTGGTGAGGCGGCTGTTCCAACTCTCCCACTGTTCCATCCCGGCATCCTCACATCTTCGTCTACCTGCCACTGATCCAGGCTTTTCAAGGTGCTCTTCCCAGCTGTCTTAGCACTACTAACAGCTGAACCTGCCCAGTGCTTACTATGGGTTTGCCTGCCACTATTAAAAGTGATATACTTGTACTAACTCAGTTAATTCTCCCAACAACTCTACAAGGCATGTTATTCTGGTCCCAGTTAATGTGAAGCAATTAA